GAATGTTCACAGCAGCCAACTGGTGTTACTTTGACACTCTTGTTTGTACCTTTTGGCCTGGGACGTGGGTTTTGAATGGACATTGTCTGTACCAGCTTCATTTAAAATAAACAAGAAAAACAATTTTATAAACAACTTGCATTTTCTTTTCGAATGTTTGGAAATGAGCAAACCCATAAAAAGTTATAATTAGAGCATGCTTTTCCAGTGACTATAAGTTGAAGCCAGAAAAAAAAAATGTGCTCTGTAAATATACCTCATGAAAAACATTTATTTTCTACTTGCCCTAGTAAAATACTTGATCTGCTTGTTTTGCAGGTGGCTCTTAGAGACTACTAGCTGTTTCTTTTCTTGTAGAGAATATTCACGTACAGTTCCATACGTCTGCACTTCGTGCACAGAATTGAAACTGAAAATGAAACTTGGAAGGAAATAAAAGATGGTTTTCAGTGTCTATATTTTGTATGATGTGGGTGACATGGAAGTGTCGTGATGGGTCATTGGGCATTGTATGAGGGTCTACATGTCCTGGTGACTTTCAGGTTATAAGTGGTCAGTTTGAGAAGTTGTTACTGAATATGAACGCCGAGATGGGAGGTTATGGGCAGAGGAGCGTGGAGAGAAGATTTCTGTACTCTCCCCACTTCAGCTTTTTTGCCGATAAATAGGGCATTTTTGGTTTGGTAAATAAAGTTCACTGTGAATGCCAGCTTTAGTCAAAGACAGATTTTAGTGCTGGCATACTTGGAAGAAATTGCAGATTTTGAGTACTTTTGTTATGGCATTTGCTGTAAAGCTAGAAATGGCATTTTCTTTCATGCTTGTGGTTTGTGCCCTGTTTCTGATTTAGTAATACTTTTGTATACATAGTTTACATTAAGCAATTTTTTTAAAGATTAAAATTTTTGTTTACAAAATACCAGAATATGGGGTTTTCTTAAAGTATTTTATGTAATTCAATTCTTAAGGGAAGAGGGCTTGCTACTGTGATGTAGAACACAGCTTCTTTGCACTCACCTCCAATGGCTTTTTTTGAATACTAAATATGTCTGCCTCAGAAAACCAGAAATAAAACCACCTTGTGATTATTACCAGATCATCTTCTAATGTAAACTTGTATAATGCTCTTGTTTGTAGACAAGTTCCTATTATCCCTCTTCTGCACACTAGGAACTGAGGTGCAGGGTATGGTAGTTTACTGGGGTCACTCTGGAAGCTGAAGGTGCAGCTGAGAGCTGAATCCAGATCCCCAGGCTTCGATGCTAGGACTGTAGTTGTTGCCCTGACTATCTTGGCTTCTAGCTGTTCACTTTCCTCTTCCAAATCTGGTTTTATGTGCTCATTTATATCAGTTTTCTAGCTGAAGCACTGCATTTAGTTCTCTTGAGACTGTGGAGGAGGGTTTTCTGCAAAATGCGGTTTCAGAAGGATGAAGCTCAAGGCGAAGATTGCTTTTAGTTCTGTAACCTTGTCCTAAAATACATCTCTTTGTCACTGGTACCATATCCACTCTGTAAACTGATTTGACCTCTTTCTCAGACTTACTGTGAAGCCTCAAAGAGCTTCAACAGAGCTGCTGGTCCAAAGCCATGTCTTTGCTGTTAGAACTTGATAGAACAGTAATAATGGGAAAACTGTACTCTGCCTCAAAGATTAGTACTGAGAACTCAGTGTAAAATGAGGAGACACGTGTGCTACACAGATGCACTGGTACCCTTTTTAAAGAATTGATTCGTGGAAATTATACATCAAAATAAAACCTGAATTTTGAAGTCAAGGAAGTTAGACTTGAATTTTCTTGATTTCTCTGGAAGAGGTAATCCTTTTCAATGAATTTCTTTCTGAAAAGCTGATCTGGAGCGGAAGGTTTAAAGCACTTGCATCTTTGACTGGAAGTAAGGTTGGTTTTCATATACTGGAGAAAAAAAGTCTTTTTTCCTCCTGCAGTTTTTCTTTGCTTACCTGTATATTAGAAGAAGGTTGGTTCTAAGGGCTTTAAAGAATGTGTTGGGGGAATAAAACCATCAGTTATGCAGTAGAAGTTGAAAGCTAATACTTGCTTTGTTTTGAGTTGTGATAATATATTTAATATTCACTATGGTGATGTATAAAAGCTTTATTGATAAGCACGTCACAAAACTCAGTCTTGGCAGATTTTCTTAAAAGCTGCTATGTTTAAAGGATTTGTGTGTTCTCTTAAGTATAAATAGGTCTGTGATCATCAGTTTGACAATATGAGGGTTTTTTGAAGCTAAATGCATAAATGTTGGCAGGATTTGGACTTCAGTTAAGGTGTCAGATAATGCTAAAACTTGAATTCTGCCACAAACTCTGACTAGCCTTGTATTGTTTTAGAAGCACTACAATTGTTTACTAGCTTTTAGCTTTCCCTAATTTAAATGGAAATTATATTTAAGGATACATCTTCTGTATACACATTTAAATTATTGCTGTTCAGGTAAATTTTCTTAAATGAGAAGATAAATTTTTGAGGCACTATACAGAGACCTGTAGGAATTGGGCAAGCTGGAAGTGGGATAAACTGGTTTTGTTTTGCTTTTAGAACTAGTAGTTAATGCATACCTAAAGAAGTTCAGCTTCAATTTAGAGACTGCAAAAATTGATTACTCTTCTGCACAGGAGACTCTCTACAGGAACTGCAATATAAATTGAATCTATAAATGTAACACTTTGTTAGATAATATTAGAGAAGCAAAAAATGATAATAACCTGATTTTTAAGGAAGAAAAGTTTTTACCTTGCTACAGTTTCTCTAGTAATTTTATTGCTGAATCTGAAATCCAGCCTTTTCTTACAGTAGCACGTTTATTGCAACTTACTGTTTTGGAGGATTCCTCCTGAAGTCAGCACTGAGGTCTTCATACCTTTTTGTAACCTGGTTATTTCATTGTTTCATCTCTTAACACAAAATAGACCAAAGAATCTGTACTGTATTCTGGCACTTCGGGAGGTCTGTCTGGATTAATTTCTACTGGCTGATCAAACACAAATGATTTTACTTCCTATCAGTGGGATGTACACACAGACTAGTGCTGCAGTCTAGGAAAATAAATTTGTGATTGACTAGCACTTGTGCCAAAAAGGAATTTGACTGCAAGAGCTCAGTGCAATGGCCCATTCTTTGCACCAGGGATTTACTTACTCCTTTATACTGTTTTCAGGCCTACCTTTTTTAGGCAGGTGAACATGAGAAAACACCTCGTGGGTGGGAAACATAGTGTGTTCTAGTCTGATAGCTTCCATTAATCATGCTCCTTGGAACTGCAGAGGTGGTTCCAGATTTGTTCTTTGCCTGCAAACAGTGGGTTGTGGACACAGGACAGGATTCCTCCTGGGGTCAGAAAGCTGGTGCATTGATTTGATGATACCTACACAGCTCACTGCTGAGCACTGGCAGTTTCTTTGGCTTTGCCACCGTGCATACGGTGCCTTCTGAGCCTTGGCAGGAGCCTGGACTCCCCCTAGGAGCTGGCTTTGAGCAAGGTTTGGAACAGGCTGGGGAAGAAAATGTTGGCTTATGCAAATACCTTCTTGTGGGCCAGTATGTCCTCCTGTCACAACAGCATGAGTAGAGCGAGCACGAGGTAGTAATTGCTGCTCAGCTGTAGTTATTACTTGGCCTTTTATCCCTGGTAGCCCTCTGTGGCTCACAAATTGATTTAGGTTTCCCCTCAGAAGGCCTGTTATACCATTTCCAATGTTTTAATGTGTGCCATGCAGCCTCCCAGCTCCTGTGTTCCTAGGTGCTGGTAGGAGTGAGTTCTGGAAGCACGCTATGGAGTCTGCACTCACGGATCGTGTGAAGGTAATCGTAATTTCAGGTGTGCAGGAAATTTTGTTGGGTTTCTTTCTGGATGCTATAAGCTCTCAAATAGTTAAAGAATACAGATGGATGTGAATTGCTGATGCAGTTTGGGGAAACACTGAAAAACTGGTTAAATAGCAGAAGAATTGCATTGTGTCTTGGAGCTGGAGCTGAAGGCAGCTTAACTAACTCCGGAGGGACTGATGCTGCTCTGCAATGTTAACTGCCCTTACAGAACTCCTGACTACAGAAGTGTTTTTGTATAGGCTGGCACGAGGTGTAAAGAGGTGTTACTACTGAGGAAAAGAAGTTAACTTTTATTACTAGCTACATATCTGGTTAAAAGTTGTGCTTGTGTTTTGAATTCCTCTACAGCTAGTCTAGCACCTTCCTCTTCATTTGCTGCTCAGCCTTGCATTTCATCTTTTCTCCGTTTTTTCCTTCATATTCCAGGTGTTCTGTTGCCATGTCCCCCAGCTGCTGGCATTCCTCCTCTAATCACATTGCTCCTTCTTTCTCTCTGCATTTTTGTGCCTCTCTGAAACACCACAAACAACTATTAGTTGCTTATGTACTCTCTATTTTTTCATCAGTTTCAGATAAAAATAAAATACTGTTATAATATTGACATTTCAAGTATTTACTATTGTTTCACATGACTTAAATTGTAATTGGATTTTTTTAAGATCTGCTTGGCACTTAGGTTTTCAAGCCTTCCTCTGTGACTATTTGTTAGAAATAAATATCTTTTTTTAACTGTGAAGCTCCTGGGAGTTGGGTTTTCAAGGAAGAGATGTGATGAAAACATCAAGAAATGATCAGATGTAGCACAAACATTGTTATTGCTAGCATCTCGCACAGTTGCATCACAGCTAGGCTGTGGAATTTCTCTTTTTTTTCCAGCCTGCAGGGACTGTGACAGAGAGAACTATTGTTACCACACCTGTTTAACAGGGGAGCAGCTGAGGTACTGTGAGTTTGGGACTTAATGTCACGTGAATCTCAAGGCAGACACACAGGAGGCTGTCTGTGTCTTTACCAGAAATCATCCATTCTGACGAATTATCTGCAACTAAAGTAAGCATTAGCCTTTCTATAGACCATCTGCTGCTCCACGTTCCTCTAACTGTTGCTTCTTCTGGAAGTGCAGAAGCTTCCTGTGATATTCCTGCTGCTGCCAAATATGTTCTTGTGCTGTTTTCTCTAATTGTGACTTCTTTGCTGCCACCTCCTCCTCATGGCACCTCCACTCTTCTTCTAGTTTCTGTTTCTGTAAACTAAAACGTAAATGATTATTAATTGCTATGGCAACCTTGGTTTTGCTGAGCGTTCTTGCCAGAAGAGCAGATGCTGGCCCAAGGAGCTAAGCAGATTGCCAAAGGGAAGGGGAGAGAGCTGAGAATAAAGAGAGAATGGGTTCTGGTTAGTGATATTTAGCATATGTCTGGTTGGTTCTGCAAATAAATACTACAGAAAAATACTGTCTACTTTCTTCCATGCTGTCTGTAAGGGAGCTAAAACCTGAATTATGTTTTTCACATATGTGCCTTTGAGGAGGACATGAGGAGTATGGATACAGGTACATGGCTTACGTGAAACAAAGATCTGGAGGCAAGGGATAAAGGAGAGCACTGGAACAGATAGGAAAGTCCAGAGAGCAGGAGCTGGAAGAAGTTGGAATGCATATTTGTGTAACAAGAACACAAACCCAGAACGGGAAGCCAGGCTATACAACAAACGAGGCAATGGAAAGCCTTGGCTGGGATTTAGATGTAAACAGAATGGCAGTTAAATGGGCTATTTTTGCAAGAGGGTTCACACTGAGAGTAAAGAGAATGAAAGAAAGTCAAGGAGGTTCATGAAGCAAAGGAATATTCTCCCTATTTTGTGAATGGGAAGTTAAGAAAAAAATCAAAAAAAGGTCATCTGCTTCACTGAATGCTGTTGAAGGTATTTTCCAAGTGTCTTGGTGTTCTCAGTCCAGGAGTTTGACTTGAATGCCTAATTTGCTTTTCCTGAAAGTTAAGCAGGACATGGCAGTAATTTTGAAAAATGTCTTATAAGTGAGATTTGTCTTGCCTTCAACCATCTGATTAAAACATGCTACTTCTACTAATCAGGTTCTTAGGGATGCCTGTTTTCCTGGGAATTCTCTCCAGAGTGTTCAGCCATTTCTAGGTAGGCTGCAGCTCCTCGAGACCACCCGAGGAGGTCGCTGTTCTCCCCGGGAAATGCCGTTCCAGTGAAAAATTATCGGATGGAAGCGAAGCAACGAGATGGTGTCAAATGTATTGTTTTGTGTAAGCAGAACATGTCAAAGGGTGAATAGAAATGTGATTATCATATTGCACCAGAGCTTGTTTCTGGTGCAATATACTTACAGGTTTCCCAGAGCTTTGCCTCAAGTATTTGGTGGGAGGGGTTTTTGTGAGGTTTGTTACTGGTTTTTTTTTTCCTCCTAAAGTTATATCAGCAGTAGAAAAGAGCAAAAGTGCTATTAATGCATCTTTTTTGTATTATAAAATGCTTGTATAGTTAAGGAATAACCTACGTTGTTATGAGATGGTTATAACCATGCTGAGTTTTTTGTCAGGGAAAGTGCTCAGTAAGGAATTTAATGCTGTATGAGAAGTGTGGAATATCATCTTCATGAACTCACTGTAAGCTAAGTACAATTGGTTGAAAACCTGAATTTGGTTAATGACTTTTAATCACTGTTGATACTGATCTTTTTCATATTGACAGACACTTGGAAAAATCAGAATTAAATGTAGTATTAGAAATGGATGAAAGCTTTAGAAAAAATGAAGTTAGTAGACATACATGCAATACTAAACTCAGGAAAAGTCTAATATACTGCTATGCACCTATTTCAGATTAAAATATCTGTGATGTTATACTTTAGTTTGGAATTTGCCCAGCAGTGCTGGATCAGTTTGCTGGCTCCTTTGCACGCTGTGTTGTTAGTCTTCTGATATATTAGAAGATGCTTTGTTGTTATCTATGTTTCTTCATGCTGGAACATTGATAGGTTTGGATGCATGTGCCTGGCCTGCAAAAGAAAAGCAACTGCTACAATAGTTCTGTCATGAATCCATTCAAATGTTTCCTTCTCAAATGAGAACATTATTCTCACTAACCACATCTCTTCTGTTGTTCCTTTTCCAGGTCTGCCTTCACTTTTTCCATTTGTTCCTACTTCTCTTTCTTTTTCCATTTCTGCTCTTGTTCTTCCTTCTTCTCCTTCCTGTGCAGATTTCTCATTTTGGCATTTATCAGAAGGAATCTGAATGGGAATATAATTAATAATGAACTTCAAGTTGACATTCTGTGAATGGTTATTATTAACTGAGATTTAACATTTTTGAAACATATATGCTTTATTTACTTATTAAAGTTTGTTGGGCTTTCCTCTCACTATAGCCAACAATGCCTGTTTTCTCTATATGATACATGTTTTAATATTTTTTTCTTCCAGAAGATAATTCCCTTTATGATTCTTGATTACTCTTATGTTAATTTACTAGTATTTAGCGTCCAAATGTATTGCTTCTTAAGCTGTATTCTTGAACCTCTGCCAAGTTTGTGTTTTTCCCTGTATTTTTTCTAAATGTTTTTGAAGCTGTACAAGATGAGTGGGCAGGCACAGGGGTTTCAGTCACAGAAAAGAGGATGCTGAGGAAACAGGTATGGTCTAAAAAATCATAAGACTCTGGTAGCTGAACGATCAGCTACAGAATGATCACTGTGGTGAAATGGGAAGGCTTCAGACAGTCCGTATTTTTCCAGTTTTAAACCACGACTGAGGGAAATGCCGTATCTGCCTGTGCGGATGATGCTCAGATAAAAAAACCAATACAACACCTGTTGCTAGTGAGGGAAAACGAGTCTGGGGGTGATTTGAGATTGGCTACACCTGTGCTTGGGGTGATAAACGAGCTGGTGCTGCTGGAGAGCTCTGTCTGGGGTGGGGCAGCCCCGGGGCCGGGTCCTGTGCGGGGCTGTGGGATCCGCCGAGCGAGCCGGGGACTGCGCCCTCCCTGCCCGGGAGACAGCCCCCCGTGCTGCCCTCTGAGGGGGAGCTGAGGGACAGGGTGTGCCGTGAGGGGGCTGAGGGCTGGGAAAGTACCTGCGAGGCGGAGAGGCCTGGCTCTCCCTCCGTGCTGGGCCGGGCGCCGTGAGGGGACCCAGCCGTCCTGTGGTGGTGGAGGCCGGCGGCAGAGCTGCCCGGCGGCAGTGGCCGTAGCCAGCAAGGACACACTGGGTAAGTCTCTGCTGTCTTTATATCCTCACTGCAGGGGAGTTTCTTCAGCACATGTCGCTGCCCACACCGGCAAGCGCCGTTCCTCATCCCCAGGCCCAGTGCTCCCGCCCGCTGCCGTGTGGGAGGGAAGTGCTGGCTGGCGTGGCTGTGGGAGGCGATCGCCCTGAGCCGGGGTGGGGGGAGCTGTAATGCCATGGATACTGTGGTGATTTTTCCCTCAGAGTACAAATGTTTCTTCAGTCTAGAGGTAGATCTGGCCTTTCTGTCAATGTGATAATATTTGTCATATTTTTGTGGCGTGGGAAAGTGTCAGAACAAAACATAAATAGAATCAAAATGCTGTGTTTCATGTAAAACTCAATCTAGGTACAGGATTTTTTTTTTCTAGATATAACTTAAAATCAAAGTCATATTCTTGGTCTTTCTGTCCCTCCTCTGTTTTCTGCTCCACCTAAATTAATCGAAGGTACCAAGAATCTTACTTTGAATCTTCATTTGTTATGGTCAAAAAAGGTGCATCAAATGTGTTGTCAGGACTGTAGTGAACTTCAGACAGAAAAACTGGAGGGGGAAGATTAAGACTTTGATGCAGACAATTGTTAACATTACAGGTAATCTTGTACTAATCACCACTACTGCTGCCTGGACTGCTCTCCCGACGGCTGACGCTCTTGGCTGGCTGGCTGGCTGGATTAAATGCTCACAATTAACTTGACCTCTGTGTGGACAAATGGTAGAAGGCCGTGATATCCAGCAGAGAGAAGCTGCAATGTGACACAGGTGAGCTGTGAGCTTCCTGCTGCCTCTGACCTGCTGGGTAACTTTGGGCAAGCTTTCCCCATCTCTGAAAGTCTGCTGCCTGCAGTGCGAGGCCCAACAAAATCCAACTTTCAGTTTCCAGGTATGACCCTAATGCAAACAGACGTGCCTGAATAACCTCAAACCACGTTTATTGTAAGTGCATGCTCTAGTACACATACTTGAGGTTTTCCACTTTACAGGTGCAGTCTAGAGAGGAAAAAAAAAAATCTAGCTGCTATATCTGCTTGTTAATACGATTTGTAATCCTTGAGTTTTGATACAAAATAAAAAGAAAAAAAACCCCTTTCATTTACTGTAAGTGTAGTTAAAATAATTTTAACTATTAGTAATGCTTGATCTATCTTGTTTGAGGCTTAGTAATAAAGAAATTAGTTTTAAAACCAGTTATTACCACTCAAAGTTATAAAATAATTGCTAAATACAAGAATTTTCCGTGGTCTTCTATCCTGAAAGCAACTACCGAGCAAAAGCACAGAAATCAAATTGGCTGGACTCTCTCCTTCAATCTGTTTTGAAGAAATTGGCTATAGCATGTTAATCCCTCATATCTTTATCTCTCCCACTGGGATAATTACAGGTGCATACAGTAACCTTCAGCAAGATCTGTTTCTTGTTAGTTAACCTTACTGTAAGTACTTATGATATGTGGTCATAAAGGGGTATTGATCCATCTCCTTGCAAGCAGAAAATGCTGAAATGTTGTGCTGATTTGTTAGTTACATCACAAGAGTTGCTGATATGAGAATATTTATGTCTCTTCAGGATTTACATGCTAGGGCTTGGCCACAACTGCTGCAGCCCACTGTTGTACAAGCACTCCAAATGAAATGTATTCCTATGCTAGTGGGTCTAAAATTTCTGCATTATAACTTACCTGAGACATGAAGAGAACTTCAAGGTGCTCTGTGTTCTCTCTAGGGGTGAATTGCTGAGGAAAAGATAAAGAAAACTATTTTCCTCTATAAATTACAATTTAGGATTTATGCCTCAGGCTAAACCCGTGTCTACTGATTTGTGTAAAGAACTGCTGTTTGCTCTTTGTGGGTTGTTGGGTTGGGTTTTGGCAGTTATCTGCTGTGATCAAACTGCTTCTGCAGTTCCTTCTAGTACCAGGGTGGGCTGTGCACCGAGACCCTCCTGTTTCACTTCACCCTAAAACCAGTTGTTGGACCAGTGAGGGAGAACAGATGGCATCTCAGAATATACTTTGAGACAGAGTTTGTCCTCTGCTAGTCCAGCTGTGCTTTTTCAGTGCTGCTGGCCCTAGGGAGGGGTTGTGAGGAAGAATGGTGTTCTACCATTAGTCAGTAGTGTCTGGTCTTACATGTACACATTCATTACTTAACAGGTGACTATATACAATTCCTGCAAATGAGTGATTGTTTTGCTTCCTTAACTTTATCCTGATGGTACAAAGCAGATGGAATCTGTACCACAAACCAGACAGCACTTAGTTTGTTAGAGTCAGTGTCTGAACTGTGATTGAAACCAGTCTGTAACAGAAACATTTAGTCAGACATTACAGGGAAAGGGAGCAGGAAATTTTGCTGTCGTAGGACTTAGAAGATTGGAGCTGCTGCCAACTGTTGTTTTTTTTTTTTCCTGCTCTTGTTCACTGGGAAGTCTCCTCTCCTGCATATGGTTTTGGAGTTACTTGTTTTTATTGCATATTTCTCCTGCATATTAACAATCAAAATTTAGACTTGATTCCACCTGAAAAAAAAAAAAAAGTTTAGGAAGGTGCAGAAAAATTTGAGATTTGGTTTTACTCCTGCCTTAAACCTCTCGACCTGTTTTGCACAAATGTAAGCATGAAGCTCTTCAGAATAATTTGTCAGTACCACTTAATGAACAGCTGGTGTAATTGTAATGGCTCTAACAGGTGGCTGCTGCTCTCTTTTTGAACATCACTTTTCTCCTCATCACTGAGGAAAGCAAATGCAGGTGCTTTGCATATTTATAAAAGGTGAATATTTTAATAATTCATTTCATTTCCGTAATATTTATCCAAAGATCTTGGAGTATTTTAGAAATTCATGGTCTGAGTTTTATTTTTAGTTTAGGAGTGATGTGAATACATCACTTCCAGTGACTTCAGCAGCAGCAAATGCTCAGTTTCTCTGAAGATCGGGCTACAAATACTGACATTTCACATTTTAATTAATAAGTTCTGTATTAGTGTTCTGTGATGTCCTGTTTGGTTTGTATTTCCTGAATATGGCTCTGAGAGGCATATTTGTAAATCAATAGCATAATTAAAAAAAAAGTGAAAGGCTTTATTTTGCTTGTCCAGAGATGGCTCTGGGGAGACCTCACAGCAGCCTGGCAGTACCTAAAGGGGTCTACAAGGGAGCTGGAAAGGGACTTTTTACAGGGCATGTAGTGACAGGGTAAAGGGGAAGGGCTTTAAACTGAAAGAGGGGAGGTATAGATTTGATATTGGAAGAAATTCTTTACTGTGAGGGTGAAGAGGTTCTGAAACAGATTGCCCAGAGAAGTTATGGGTGCCCCATCCCTCGAAGTGTTCAGGGTCAGGTTGGATGAGACTCTGAGTAACCTGGTCTAATGGAAGGGTGTACCTGTCCATGGGGGTTTGGAACTAGATGATCTTTAAGGTCCCTTCCAAACCAAGCCGTCCCATGATTCTTGTCTTTGGATTAACTGGTTTAGAGCAGGCAGTTGATTCTGAGAGTGTGACCTGAATGTAATGATTTTATATGCAGAGTCAGCATTCTCATGGTGTGTAGATGTGTGCTTGGGGGCAGGGTTTAGTGGTGGACTTGCTAGTATTAGTTTAATGGTTGCATTCAATAATCTTAAGGGTCTTTTCCAACCTAAAAAAATTCTAGGATTCTATAGTGCATTACTCTTTCTGCCACAATACTGGACTGGGGGGAAAAAAGAAGGCAGATGTTCATTCTGAGCATGGAATGTATTACCTTTGGCTTAACACAAGTTCTGTATAAAACGGTTTACTGGGATGCAAAAAAAAAAAAAATCTTAGTCCTAGTTGAATCTTTATAGATTTCATTTTGGTTTAAAAACTGACTCTGCTTTGAGGTCATTTGGTATAAATTCCACTGAAGGCCTTCTCCTTGGACATCTACTATAAGTAAATGCTGAGGGGTT